TGCTACTTCATTAACTGTACTGTTGCTACTATTATGAATCATAATGTACATATCTGATATGCAGGATGGTCTTAGGCAACCCGTGAAAGGGTCGTTCGACCGCCAAAGGGGTCGCGACCCACAGGTTGAGAACCACTGCTCTAGAGTAAATAATAAAAGGACTAAAAATATATATATATATATATGAAATACTGATGGGGTGAAGAGCACCCAAAGATTGCTGGGAGGGGAGGGGAGAAGTGGGAGTGGGAGGGGGGACACGACGACTGACTAAAAAGGATGAAATCCTTAAAAAAAGAGACAACATTAAAATTTTTAACTTTTCCTTTTTTTCTGCCTCTGCGGCTGCCATGGCTACCATGAAAAAGCTCGTGGCGAAGGGGAGCAAAAAAAAAAAGAAGCAGGTTCTGAAGCTCCCCTTGACTGCACCACCTAGAAGATAAAACTATGGACACTGCCAACTTAGAGCAGTTTCTTCAGGAGAGAATCAAAGTGAATGGAAAAGCTGGGAATCTTGGCGACGGGGTTGTAACCATTGAAAGAAGCAAGATGTCTGAGGTGCCTTTTTCCAAAAGGTATTTGAAATATCTCACCAAAATATTTGAAGAAGAATACTCTACATGACTGGTTGTGCGTAGTTGCTAACAGCAAAGAGTTACGAATTGCGTTACTTCCAGACAAACCAAGATGAAGAGGAGGAGGAAGAAGAGGAGGAAGAGGAGGATTAAAGCTAATTTATCTGGCACATTTAGTATGAGTTCTTGAATAAAACTTAGGAACCAAAAAAAAAAAAATTTAACTTTTCCATTCCAAAATCATAATAGATATTTAAAAGCAAATAACAAATGGGAGGGAGGAGAAGTATTGTAACAAACACGAAGTATGCATGAAAAGCTCTTACTAATAAACCCAGAAACACATCATTAAAAATGAATGAAAAATTGAAAAGGCGAAATAAGAAATACAAATGACCAAAAAAACCCATATGGACAAATATTCACAATTATATTAATAATCTATAATAACAGTTCTCACTCAAAGTGTGGTCCAAAGATTCCCAGGGGTTCCTGAAACTCACAAGGGAGTTCCTTAAGTCAACCCTGTCTTTAAAATAAAACTAAGAAATTACTTGTCTTTTTCACTGCGTTGACAGTTACACTGATGATACAACAACAACTATGATGGGTAAAACTGCTGGCATAAGTCAAAGCAGTGGCTACAAACTGTACTAGAAGTCAGTATATGTTTCACACCAGGACTTACAGTTAAATAAAAGCAATAAAGCTTTAAGGATGTTCTTGATAAAGCACTTGCTTATTAAAAATTGTTTATTTCATTAAATTTCGATTCTTTAGTATATGTCAGTGATGGCGAACCTATGACACGCGTGTCAGAGGTGACACGCGAACTCATTTTTTTGGTT